GTCCCAACCCGTCAGGGCCTCTGGGCCAAGCATACATATTACATTCGCTTTTACACATTTAAAGTGGCAAAAACAAACATATCTAATTCCATTCTCCTAAGGCATCTACATGTTCTCTAACTTGTTAATCTTGCATCATTCTAAACTGTGTAAAAATATAAGCCTTGCACAGATCAAATTGTTTTTAAGGATGCATATTTTGCACCCTCTAATTGAGAAATTGTCCAGGTATCCAAAGATTAGGCATTAATGTACTCAATTTAATATTCATCAAAATTCTTAGGGTTATCTATAGATTATGAATTCAGCATTTAAGTTGACACATTTTTTGTGATTTGTATGCATCGTTATAAACATCGAACTGTTTTAAAAATGACATTATCTATTGTGATTTAATTTAGCTCAATGCATAATTTACAGATGTATAATTTTAAATAAAATGATTTTAACTCTTCTAACCAGTAAACCTAGTGGAAGAAGTTTAGTAAATTCAAATTAATTCGGGTGTTTTCTTCTTTTTTTAAGAAAATGAACCCCAGACTTGTGTGAACTAGAATATCGTACTAACATTATTCTTACATCATGACAACAACAAAGAAAAAGACATAAATCCATTTTTAAGACAAGATTAGTAAGCCAGTGAATTTATCCAAAAAGTTATCTTAATTAAAAATATGTGGTTAAGGGGCGCCTGGGGGGCTCAGTCGTTAAGCGTCTGCCTTCGGCTCAGGTCATGATCCCAGGGTCCTGGGATTGAGTCCCGCATCGGGCTCCTTGCTCAGTGGGAAGCCTGCTTCTCCCTCTCCCACTCCCCCTGCTTGTGTTCCTTCTCTCGCTGTGTCTCTCTCTGTCAAATAAATAAGTAAAATCTTTAAAAAAAAATGTGGTTTATTCCTATAAAACTGCATACCATGAACTGAAAATTTTAAGTTGTTCAAAAATAAGAGAGAAGTTCTGTTTTGTTTCTTATCGTATAACCTGTTAACTAAAACCACTAATTAAATTCACAGTTAAAACTTTCCTGTTTTCTCAGAGTTACAATTTAAAGAGGAAGAACATTTAAAGCATCAGGAGAAGTTTTATTTTGATTTGAGTTTCTCTCTCTTTTTTTTTAAGTTTTTATTTAAATTCAAGTTAATTAACATACAGTGTAATATTAGTTTCAGGGGTGTGATATGGTGATTCAACCCTTCCATACACCATACAGTGCTCATCACAGCAAGTGCCCTCCTTCATCCCCATCACCTATTTAACCCATCCCCCCACCCACCTTCTCTCTGGTGATCATCAGTTTGTTCTCTAGAGTTAAGAGGTTTTCCTCTCTCTGTTTTTCACCTATGATCCTTTGTTTTGTTTCTCAAATTCCACATATGAGTGAAATCAGATGATAAATGTCTTTCTCTGAGTGACTTATATCGCTTAGCATGATGCTCTCTAGCTCTTAGTTTCTTTTACTTTAAATTGTGTTTTTTAGTCTTTACAGAAGCCATTTAAAATTTAAGTTTACATTATAATTATTAGCTTCCTGCTGAGGTAGAGTGGACGACTTGCTCAAAACTATTTGTATTCATAAAACAGAAAATATTCTCAATCATCGTGCAAATTAGAGGAGTTAATCGTGAAACAGGAATAAAATTTAAAGTAGGTAAAACTGATGTGGGAAACAAAGGCAGAAGAAAAATTATTAAATTTCCTTACTATCTACAGCCCATTGACAAGTCCTTGAAACAGGCAGAGAGACCTTCCTCTAGGGACTCAGCTGCCTTGATGTTAATACTTTGCTAAGGGCAAAGGCAATCCTAGCCGGAACCCTCCACCTCAGGGTCCTGTAAGCCTACTTTAACATATAAAAATTGTTTTGGAAACTTCCTTTATCTCTACCCGGCAAGATACGTGTTGGCAATCATCCCCCAAGCAGATGACCCACCGATATACATCTGAAGGGTCTCATGACTAAGGTTCTATTAGACGGTAATAAATGACCTTTTCCCAACAACAGCTAGCCCCCTCAAGGTTCTGGAAAACTTGCTTCCAAAATTCCTTAGAGACTCACTATCCCTAACCCCCTCCCAACTTGAAAGTATACAATGGGCCACTCCTCATGACCCCAGTACAGCTCTTTCTGCCCACGGGTTCTGTCCCTGTGCTTTAATAAAACCACCCTTTTGCACCAAAGACGTCTCAAGAATTCTTACTTGGCCGTCGGCTTCGAACCTTAACGTCTTTCCTACAACAAAACTAGAGCCACAGATTTAAGTATGTTGATCAGTTAAGGAAAAAAAAAAAGAGTAATTAAGAAACAAATGTAATTAGGCACCTGGGTGGCTCAGTCGGTTAAGCGTCTGCCTTCCGCTCAGGTCGTGATCACAGGGTCCTGGGATCGAGTCCCCGCGATGACTGGCTTCCTGCTCCGCGGGACGTCTGCTTCTCCCTCTGCCTTCCCCCCTGCTCATGTTCTCTCTCTCAAATAAATAAATAAAAATCTTAAAAAAAAAGAAACAAATGTAATTAAGATCAGAGATCTCTCAGCAAACACCATTGTTGAGAACATGAGTAAGTTCTCTAAGTTTTGTAGGAAATTCTACTTTCCAGTGCCCTAGCTCTCACAATAAACACATTAAGATTTAGTAACTATTAAATGTTTGTTTTATATAAGGGTATTGGAAGTCTTCTCTTTTTGTCTGAGTCAGTAATCTGATTTATAATGCCATGTTTCTTCTCTCTTCTCTCTAACCTTACTTAAAGAGCCTGAAGGGACATGGAATTATTGAAGCATACACTTTAGAGACTTCTGCAGAGCAAAAGACAGGCCTCTGCATGCTGGAGATTTGGGTAACTGGTTTTCTCTCTTGTCATTAGTCTCCTGTAAGGCCTAACCGCTTTCTTAAAGTCAAAAGTTATTACCAGATTGCCATTTTACATTTGTATTATCTTTGAAGCAGGAATCCTATTTTTGCAGATACTGACAACTATTTGGACACATAATAAGTAAACACAAGAAAAGACCATTTTGAAAGGAGGAACGAGACTCTTATCTTTAATTTCAGGAATCCACAGCATACAAACACAAAACACCAAACCCAGTGGATCACATTAAAGGCCAGAAAGAAAAACACCAACTTCCTGTTCATGTGTTCTCAAACGCCAGAGAATATCAGAATCCCCAAACACAAACAACCCAGAAAAGATTAGCAAATGCCGTAGACTTCAGATCGTCTGTCCTCGGGCACCACGTAATCACTTCATGATCTGACATAAAACCATTTTAATGTGTCACCAATCAACAGAGTGCACTCAGAATAAGAGCCAAAATAAGAAACAAATTTGGGCAAGAATACATTTCAGCATGCAAGAGCCAAAGGCAGATCAGCATAAAACTCAAACTGCCCAGGGCTGGACAAGGAACTTCTCCAGGTCACACATTTCTATTGATTCCTATGGCAGGACTTAGGTAAACAATGTCTTGGTGAAATCTTCAGAAATAAATGGCCAAGTGGTTAATGATTAGCCTGCCCTTCACTTGTACAGAAGGGAGAACAAGCTATAGAATTATTCCACCCGACAGAGGCAAACCAGAATTTATATAAGAGAAGAGGGGGAGGGGCATCTGGGTGGCTCAGTCGTTAAGCGTCTGCCTTCAGCTCAGGTCATGATCCCAGGGTCCTGGGATGGAGCCCCGCATCGGGCTCCCTGCTCGGCGGGAAGTCTGCTTCTCCCTCTCACACTCCCCCTGCTTGTGTTCCCTCTCTCGCTGTGTTTCTTTCTGTCAAATAAATAAATAAAATCTTTAAAAAAGAGAGAGAAAAGGGGGAGAAGAGAAGGAAAACAAAAGGAAACAACCAAACAAAAACCAAAAACCTTGTAGTCAACCTGGTAATAGTGAATCTGCACATTTTTTTTTGGGTAATGGGATTATGTGGCAGTTAGGTCAGTCTGAATTGGACCATCAGTCCTCGAGCAGGTTCACTAGGCACATAGGGATAAAAAAAAAAAATCCAATTTCAGTTTTTGAAGGACTCCAGAAACCTTAGAGCTAGTATGACAAACACCTGCAACTGTCCCGCATTTGCACTTCCACCTTAACTAGGTCAAAACGCTTCCAAGTTAGGCAACCAGAGCTGTGCTCCAGTGGAAGCCTGTCTAGGGTCAGACAGGCCTTTAGAATTCTTCCCAAGTGTTAATGAAAACTGCAGGCTTAAGATCATGAGGACCTTATGCTAAGTAACTTGGTAATTTACATCACAATGTTTTATCCAAAATTGGACAAGTCTTTATGTTCTTTTGTAACAAAATTTATTCCCTGTATTTTCCCGTTTTTAATGGAAAAAGCAAACTTCACTCCTCTAAGTACTGAAATGTGTCCTAGACCTGGGCAAGACAAAGGGAGAAAGTGCGTCTTTCACCTTAAAGTCTTTGCCTGGAGCAAAGTTCATGAGTAAAGTGCTTAAACTGTAGTTTCCCAGCCTGCGATATCTGCTCAATGAAAGTTCTCTATTCAGAGATTTTGAGTACCCAAGTTCAAAGGCATCCTTCCTATTCTCCCACCTCGTTTCTCCACCCCTAGTACTTGCCTTCAGTTCAGCCTCCCTTGGAGACAAGTTACCCAGCAATTTTGAGGAGTCTAATAAAGCAGTAGGTCGATACTAACCGCTTAACATAAGCCACCTATAAAGATCACATATTTCTATGCTCAGATGCATCAGACCAATTATGGCACACAGCATGGAGACTCAAAACTGCATGGGTTTTCACGGAGATGACCCCCAAGAGCATAGAGTAACAGGATATTAACATTAACTTACACTCAGTACTGCCATGGTACCATTAAGAGAAGCTAGAAATTCCTCCCCATGTAATGACTTTCTAATTAAGGTAGGATACTTTGCTCCCAAACCCACCATGCAAAATCTAGTGTTGTATTACAGCTCTCTTAGTGGACATATGGGTGGCTCTGAAAAGAGCCTTTGGGGTTGGGATCACAAGAGGCTTACTTGGTAAGGTCACTTGGAGCTGGTGTACTTGGTGACGGCCTTGGTGCCCTCGGACACGGCGTGCTTGGCCAGCTCCCCGGGCAGCAGCAGGCGCACGGCCGTCTGGATCTCCCGGGACGTGATGGTCGAGCGCTTGTTGTAATGCGCCAGGCGGGACGCCTCGCCCGCGATGCGCTCGAAGATGTCGTTGACGAACGAGTTCATGATGCCCATGGCCTTGGACGAGATGCCGGTGTCGGGGTGCACCTTGTACACGTACACCGAGTAGCTCTCCTTGCGGCTGCGCTTGCGCTTCTTGCCGTCCTTCTTCTGCGCCTTGGTCACCGCCTTCTTGGAGCCCTTTTTCGGGGCCGGAGCCGACTTGGCGGGTTCAGGCATTTTTAAATACCTCAGAACACACGAAGTGAAACGAAAGGAGGAAGCGCATCTCTGCTACTTATAGGGCTTTTATGCTAATGAAGGATGCAGACAGCGTCTTAGTTCATTGGAAGACAAGCTGCAAGGCATCCATGGGCCGAACTATGCAAATGAGGTATGGAAATAAAGCTTTTCTATTGGCTACTTGGCTGAGTCTTGTTACTAGCCAATCAGACAACCGGACTTACTCCCCAGGAAATGCCTATAAAAGCAGCGATGTTTCTATCTACTTCACTGTTAGGTCTGTCTTGGCAGGCGAGTGGTTTTCTTGTTTTGGCGCTCCCATTTCGTGCCTGCAATGTCTGGACGCGGCAAGCAAGGCGGCAAAGCTCGGGCCAAAGCCAAGTCCCGTTCCTCTCGCGCTGGCTTGCAGTTCCCGGTGGGCCGCGTCCACCGCCTGCTCCGCAAGGGCAACTACGCCGAGCGGGTCGGGGCCGGCGCGCCCGTGTACCTGGCGGCCGTGCTCGAGTACCTGACGGCCGAGATCCTGGAGCTGGCGGGCAACGCGGCGCGCGACAACAAGAAGACGCGCATCATCCCGCGCCACCTGCAGCTGGCCATCCGCAACGACGAGGAGCTCAACAAGCTGCTGGGCCGCGTCACCATCGCGCAGGGCGGCGTCCTGCCCAACATCCAGGCCGTGCTGCTGCCCAAGAAGACCGAGAGCCACCACAAGGCCAAGGGAAAGTGATAAGGCAAGCATCTTAGTTTCCGGAAGCGATTTCAAACCCAAAGGCTCTTTTCAGAGCCCCCCACCAGTTCAGTAGAAGAGCTAATACTACTCTTAGGTTAAGGTGATAAATAGGCAAAGGTAAGTTAACTTTTTCCGAGGGCAGGATATTGAGGCTTTTCAGGCTTTAAGAGGCTGAGGGTGTTCTCAATCATTACTGGGAAATTGCAAATTGATTAGGATCTAATAATTGCATGTGCTTACTGACCAAACTAATCATGCATACCAGGCGGTCGAGTTAGGCCCAACTTAAACGGCTTAAAAGCCGAACTCCACCGTTTCTGAGCTTTGTCTTGCAAGCTTAACTCGGATGTTCTGGAAGACAAACTTAACCGAGTAACATGGTAACATCCTTGGCCAAACCCTCTTGGACTTGTCTTAGGCCGCAAGCAACCGGTCTTAACTAATCCTGTAAAGGAGTTAGGCTCTGCTCCTGTTAGTTTTCAAAGTATCACCTGAAAGAGGCATTGGAAAGGGGCCTCTGAAAAGGGTTTCCCTGCGTTAATATAAGGTGGCTCACAATACTGAATTCAGATTCGAATTGCAGCTTCTTCCCGTTTACAAATTAATCTTTGGGGCTAGTTTCTAACTTTGTCATCCGTAAACTGAGTTAGATTGATAGTGTCATCAGATTTTTGTGCCAACTAGACCACTTAAAGCCCCTAACCTAGATTAGTGCCTGACATTCAACGAACAGGAATTAATACATTTCAAGAGGTTCACATGCCTAGATTCCTAAGGCAGCCCGGAAACAAGATAAAAGTATGGCCACAGGCCTCCCCAGAGCATTTGCTACTAAGAATCCGGTAACTTAGCTGCTCCAGCCCCAAAAGTGGCAATCTTGGACCGTACAAAAATCCCTACGATCTTACTTTCTAGGGTCGAGTCTCACCCAAGTGGTTCTTCAGGATGACTTGGTTTAGGCTTCGGAGAATGAGTGGGCCATGGTCTGCCCACGCCTCTGCGCGCAGAGACTCGGGCGGCCCAAGCAAAAACAACCTCTTTTTCAAACGCTCCTTGAGCTCCCACTGAAGCATTTTCTGGGATCGTTCGTTTGGAGCAATCAAATGCGAACATGCGCGGTGGGGAGAGAATCTATAAACAGAAGCTGGTTCTCGCGGACGCGCTTCCCACTGCCTAAATGTTGACGCTTGCGGAGTGGTCTGCAGGCAGCCTCCACCCGCTCTCGCCTCCCCTCTTCCGCCAGCCCCGCCTCCCCTCCCTTGGCCTTGCTGTCAACAGGAACAAAAGTTGGCCCCTGTCTGGGAGGTGGTGAAGGCAAAGTGGCGGAAAAAGAAGCAAGCACCTTGATGGCCACATGTTAGAGTTTCCAGAGGAGTTCCTAACGATTCTAATGGGCAGCGGGACTGAGAATCTTCACTCGGGGGAGGTCCGGCCTCACAGCGTTCCAGGCCGGTCCGCTCAGGGGACGGGGTTCTTTCCACCCAGAATTTCTTGTATGCTGGAGAACTTGGATCCTTAGGTCCGATTGCTTTATATGAGCCTAGCAATCCTCTTCATTAACCTTCCAAAGGTTGCTTTGGACCCCGCTCCAGCACTGACCAGGTATGTGACCTTGGGCTTGGTGCTCAACCTCCCCCTGCTTCATTACTCCTTCACCTCTGCTCACGTCCTGATGAAATGAGTAGGCTCAGCAGTGTGGGTTCTGAAGCTGGAGCACAGGCACTCCAGGTTAATGGCTAACACTAAGCATTACTGTGTCAGACACAGTTCTACCTACTTCTAGAAAATTCATTAAACCCAACAGTCCATCGGTAAGTGCTATCCGTTTCCTGATTTTAAAGAGGAGGAAGCAGGAACAGAGCATAAATAATTTGTCTAAGTCCCAAGGTCAGGAAGCCAGTACTTTTGACTTCTGGCTGTTCTGTGAACACTGTTCCCTAAGAGATTATTGTCAGAACAAAGAAACCAGTAAAAACTCAAGACATAATGGGTTAACTTTGCCCACAAACCAGAACGTTACCAATTGCATCTTAAACTAAAGAATTTAAAGGAAGGAGGAGAGGTGTTCTCCCTGGAATCCACATAAAGGAAGGAAGGAAGGAAGGAATCCACATAAAGGGAGGAATCCACATAAAGGGAGGCCCTGTGTTAGCACTGTAAACCCAGGGGGAAGTAAATACACTTTTGAAACAAGGGGACAAATCCAAGAGATGGTTTGGTAAAGAGCTACAGGACTTGATAAACTAATTTCTCGTGAATGAAGAAGGAGTTAGAGAACGCCTGGGTGGCTCAGTCGTTAAGCGTCTGCCTTGGGCTCAGGTCATGATCCCAGGGTCCTGGGATCGAGTCCCGCATCGGGCTCCCTGCTCCTTGGGAGCCTGCTTCTCCCTCTGCCTCTCTCTCTCTCTCTCTCTCTTTCACGAATAAATAAATAAAATCTTAAAAAAAAAAAAAAGGAGTTAGAGAGGATTTGACTTTGAGTTCTCCCCTCTGGGCTCCAGTAACAAAACCTTGAATTTGGTTGGTGAATAATACATTGTGTTAATTTTGTTTCACCTTCTGCAAGACCTCCTTAAAATCAAAGACCCATCTTGTTAAATTGTTAATAGTCAACATAGACCCTACCATACCATAAACTCTTGAAAATGGGGCATTGTGTAAATGTTGAGCTGAGTCAGTGGCCATCAGGAAGCCCTTGTTCTAGAGGTTGGTTTATTACCAGAGGAGACGTTAATTAGACACCAGACTAACAGGTTGCTAATAACATCTTCTCTTTCCAATAGAAAATCCCTTCTGAAAATCTAATTTGCGCTAGCATCTTATTTGGAGAGCTTCAAAGAAATACCGAAGGTGCCAATTGACCAGCTCTTACCTAAGAGCTACTGCCAAAAGGCTCTCGAGAGGACATTCTTCACAGATGTGTCCTAGCTCCCCCTCTCCAACATGCTTCTTTTCCTTCTAGTTTGAAACATCATTGTTTATATCCAAAAGCCCTAGTTACATCTTTGGAAAATTCTCCAGTGAGCAATAAATTCTCAGTAGCTTCAGTTGGTTTCCAGGCATTGAGCAGGTCTCCATCCGCCATGCCTCAAGGGTCCCGGGGAGGACCATTTCAACGGGGACAAGTTCATGAGAATGATAAACCCAGGCCCTCCAATTACTGAAGGCACCTGGTTACCAGGGACAGAAGTTGACCTCAGGGATTTACTGAGGTGTGAGGCTAAGACAGAATCATTATTTGGTTATATAGGGCATTCTCAACAAAGCAGATCATTATGACACAATATCACCAATTAGAAAATCCCTTTTTACATTTCCAAACCATCTATGCAGTTTTCCTTTCCTCTGTCCACCGTACAGTCACTTGCCAATTTTTTTATGTATCATTGGAACTCTTTTTTTATGAGGATGAGACAGTTTAGAATTTGTTCTAAAAAATTGTATGTATCTTCAAGTCAATTGCATTACCATCTATGGGTTTGTCATTTTTGATCCTAAGTTATAATTATTAATGTAAATATTCCTGTTAAATATAATGCGTGTGTACTATTAGAAGATGTTAGGAATTTAACTGAGGATTCGCCATGCATACTGAACTTGAAAATAAAGTGAAGTTGCAGGCATGGGATTGGTGTGGTCCTCTTTAAAAATAGACTTCATTGGACTGCATTACATTGCAGCTATTTGCTTGAGTTGTACTCTGGGCAGGGTGAAGGAACCAGCATCCCTTAGGGCTTAGGACTAATGCACATCACTAGAGTTGGGGCTCCTTGTGAAAGAAGCAAGTGTGCTAAGCTTCAGATTCTTTGCTGTATGTTGTTTGTCTGCCAGTTGGAGCTTCAACCTTGAGCACGTTCCTCATCGTCAGGGACACCAGGCAGTGGCAGGTGAGCAAGTCTGTGTCCTCCTACCTTTGGTGATAGCCACAGCCGGAAGGACTCGGCTTGACCTGACACCACGACAAATTGTCCTTGCATTAAAGATTGATCTCAACAAGGCCGGACAATCATGTGCTCTAAATTTTAGAACCTTGGAGCTTGGTACTAGTTCCTGTTCTTGATGATTTCATCAATAGTGCAGTTTCGAAGTCTAGCTAGTAAACTTCCAAGTTTACATCTGCAGCCCTGACCTCTCCCCTGACGTGCAGATGTGTGTGTATACACATTTCTCCTTAACACCTTCACTTGGAACTCTCTTCTCAACCGGAATATGTCTAAGATATAGGAATTGACACTGTGCACCCTAAGCCTCCTATTTCCTCCTGTCC